CACGCACGAACGAATGAAAGCTGTATTAGAACAGTCGCATCCATACCACAGGACTGCAACGCCTGTCATCTGCGAACAACTCGAGTGAAGCCAAATTTCTCTGGTGCTCTGGTGCTAATTTGACAGTTCTTTCTTTTCCTCTATGATTAACCTTGGTACATGTCGCACCGAGTTGCGGAAAATAGGATTGATCATGACTTCCAAGCTTTCAGAACCTAATAGGTACATATCACTAAAGAAATCCAATTGTAGGTTTAAGGACAGACATAGCATTTCTTAAGAAATGCCGAAAATTAAATCTAACACCTATCAGTCATAAGATTAGGGTTAAGACACCAACTCCCTTAAAAGTAGTTCGTAAGATGGAGTCAGAATTTATAAAAGCGAGCATCCAGAGTCTCTATTCAAAGTTGGAAACAAAGTCGTTGGAATGTTATTCCCTGCATTTGAAATTGGCCAAAGAATTCACAATTGAATTTCCACTGTTTTTGGCTAAAGTAAAAGTATTGGAGGACTGCGAGGAAAAAAGGAAAAGAAAGTTACATAACAACAAACTGAGGTCACTACAATACTATTTGAATTACACAACACAACAGAGAGACCAGAAATCACACAGTTCAGTTAACACAAATGTGGTTCAATCCGTCGAAGGTTTTGTGGTAAATCGCTCGACGCAGCAGTTCTCAGAAGAACAATTGACACTTCTCAACAAGGGATTAGGATATGCGATCTCCTCAAAACCTGACGTGGAAGAGGCCATTGTTGACATGGAGACTGCAATCACTCACACACTTCCTATTCAATTACACGAGACTGCCAGGAATATTATTTCAAAACGGAAAGGGACATTGACTTAGTAAAACCGAAAAAGAAGAAATTCGAATTCCCAAAGAACTAAAAACAAAGCCGGTATTCTATACAAAACCGGACAAAGGTAATGCAGTAGTGATTTTGGACAAAGAGGACTATGACAATCGGATGACGGAAAAAATTACTAATGGCCCATACAGACAGTTGAGGATTGACCCCCTCCCATTTATAGTTAAACATGTGGATAAAACGTACAAGGCGGTTATTGGCAACACTACGAATCAATTGAAAGTTTCAAACCCTATTCTACCTAGGATCAAAGGTTTACCAAAGATTCACAAACCAGGAAACGAAATCTTGGCTGAAGGGTCCCCCACTCAAAAGCTTGCCAAATGGCTAGTAAAGGAATTTCAAAATATGCGTAAACCCTTTTCCACTCACTCAGTTAACAGCATACCGGAATTCGCAAATCAACTTCAGGCATCAGAAGAGATTCGGGGAGACGAAGTCATGGTTTCATTTGATGTCACAGCACTTTGTACGAGTGTACCAGTAAAGGAAGCCATCAGCCTTTTAGAGGACTGGCTTCTGAAGCAACGGGAGGATTCTACTTGGAAAACCAAAGTTCGGTCATATCTCAAGCTTACTCGTCTTTGTATGGAGGAAAATTATTTCATTTTCAGAGGAAATTGTTTTAAACAAACTAAAGGCGCTCCTATGGGCAATCCGCTTTCTCCATTTTAATGTGAATTGTTCATGGCTAACCTGGAAAATACTCTGGAGGATAGGAATTTGTTGCCCAAATGTTGGTATAGGTACGTGGATGACATTTTTAGCATTGTTAAAAGGGAAGATTTATCAAAAACTTTGAAGGCCATAAGCAACGTTCACAAGGACGTCAAATTTACTCACGAAGAACGGCAAACTTCCCTTCTTAGATCTTCTTATCATCAGGGAAACGTCTTCGTTCAATTTCGAAATCTATAGGAAACCAACAAACACAAAGAGAGTAATACCAAGCACTTCAAACCATTCCCATCAACACAAAATGGCTGCTTTTCACCACATGATTCACAGGATGCAAACTCTTCCTCTTAGCGATACAGGCAAATCAAAGGAAATAGCTCACATTTTTGAAATCGCTAGACTTAATGGGTATCAGGAAAAAAAACAATTCAAGCAGTAATCGATAAAAGAACAAGGGATCATTTTAGGCGTATTTCGACAACTCTTACTGAGGGTTTAAAGTGGGTAGCGTTGAATTTCGACAAAAACATTACCAAACCATTGATTTCGAAGTTTAGAAGTTTTGGCCTAGATTTAGTATTCAGCAGCAGGACAAATCAGTTGAAGTCACTGTTAGGTTCAACAAAAGATTCAATAAATGGCTTAGGGAAGCCGGAGTCTACAAAATTTCTTGTCCAGATTGCAATATAGACTGTTTCAGAAAGTATAAGCACACCTTATTTTAACGGTCACTTTGAATATAATGAAATATTTCAACATGTTTTGGCTGCGTCCTTTTGTTTGCTCATTTCTGAATGACATAGAATCAAAAAAGTGCTCAGTTTTGTGTTTCCTGTCAAAATGCGTGGTCTTACTCCGGAACAACGAAAAAGTATCGTGCACAAATGGTGCACTGTGAGCGGACTCTCCTTGAGAAAATTGGCCAAGGAAGAGGGTGTAAGCGTCGGAGCGGTACGAACTGCGATTTGAAAATATAGAGAACAGTGTACGTTTGAAGATGCGCCGAAGAGTGCCCGGAAATCCGGTCCTGTAAGTCCGGGATGCCTACAAATGAATACCAGCGACTTCCGTTCGGGTTGTTGCGAAAAAACTAGGGACCTCGTCGCGTAACGTCATGCGTGCCAAAGAAAGACTTGGGCTACAAACATACCGGAAGCAGAAAAAACCCAAAAGGAACCCAAAACAGGCCGCGTCCGTGAAACCACGGGCCCGCAAACTCTACGATTCGTTATTGTGTCGAAATTCTGGGTGTATAATAATGGACGACGAAACGTACTTGAAACTAGATTACAAAACGCTTCCCGGACCACAATTCTATACTGAAAGCGAAGGCAAGGACATCCCCGAAACGGAGAAGGCAATTTTTACCGAAAAATTCGGTAAGAAGGTTATGGTTTGGCAGGAAATATGCGAGTGTGGTAAAACATCTAGTCCATACATCACAACGGAGATGATGAACACTCAGAAATACGTTAAGGAATGTCTCCAGAAGCGATTGTTGCCGATGATCAGGCAGCACGAAGTCAAGTAGTATTTTGGCCTGATTTGGCGTCATGTCATTACGCAAAGGACACTTTAGAATGGTACAAAAGTCAAAATGTATGTTTCGTACCGAAAGACATGAATCCGCCGAACTGCACGGAGGCACGGCCAATCGAGACTTTTTGGGCTTTAACCAAAGCAAAGCTTCGAAAATTAATAAAACCAGCGGACGACATCCAAAAATTCAAAAAAGATTGGCCAAAAGTGGTCAAAATGGTGGAAAGTACCACTGTGCAGAAGCTAATGGGTCATGTTCGAGAAAAAGTTAGGAGTCTTGGCTATGATTAAATATGTTGATTAAACGAGAGTAAAATATCATTTGAAATACAAGCATGCTATCTAAAACAACACATCGTAGCATGCCTCTACCTGTTAGAGACTAAATTTAGGTACCTGGTTAGGTAAATTGTGACATGGCAGTGGATACCTGCTGATTTTTAGTACCTATTGATTAGTATATAACTCGTAGATAAAAGATGGATTTTTCAGTGGTGTTGAGCACTGTTAAATATGTTATGGATCACCAGCGGTGCTTATGTTTTCGGCCGTTTCAAGAACTGGGCATTGCAGGGGGTTGATCTATACCCGCTTTGCTAAAATCATCGTGCACATTAATCTAGAACGTAGTGAACCGAATGGGCTGTATTTATAAATTTCTTTATGACCAGGTTTTCAATGTTTCTTCCGTCTTGACACCCTTCACAAACTGACGACATCTCTCAGCATACCCAATTGGCTGTCACGAGACATTATATATAATTGATATACGGCAGTGAAGTATCGAAGAAACCCAAAAAAAAATATTCAGAACAGATATGTCGGCCCGATGTCGGATCAATGTAAGGTAAATTTATAATCGACGTCGGCCAAATGTCGGATCAATTCTGTGTTTATGTCGGGTCAATGTCGAGCTAATATCGGGTTGGGGGTTGGTAGAAGGCAGGTTGGTGTCGTGCAGTACTGCGCGTTTTAAAAAAATATCGGATGGAAATTTTGCAATGGGCAGCACGAACGAGCTTCGGTGTCACACTGGCAGTTTGACGGACTGCTTGTTCTATGTACGAGGAACGTTACAAATGACCATCCGAGGCTGCCATAGCCGAACGAACAAAATACATGAATAAGAACGAGCTGTCGTGTACTGCAGAAGACGGCAACGTTGCATGTCATATGACAGCCTCACTGTGGGCTGTCGCTTATAGCTCAATCTCAAGGTTGTCGTAGGAAAAAGAAAGCGAAAGCCGTTGGAATACTGTCATGAGGCGGTACTTTTGGGTTAGAGCGAACCATTGTCGAAGGATAGGATCAGGGGATAGGGGGTTTCATTGTCTCATCAGAGTGTTGTCGCCAGTATGAATGGTAGTGCGGTTTAGATTCGTCTGGAGTTCGTCTGACTAATTCTAGTTGGTGACAGGATTTCACTTCTCAGTACCTATTTTATGAATGGCATTCGTAGTATTTCAGTAGTTAGTATTTTTAAGTTTTATGACGAGCTGCTGGCAGACAAGTTTTGTCCATATCTTAGTCCGCCGGTTTCCACTTTGAGCCACAAATGTGTACAACAATCCATCTTCTTGTGATCAAATCGAAAATAACCTTCCATCTTTTCGGGCTGGAAAATTCGGTGGAAAATCAACAATGTTTGCTTGACGAAATAAAGCAAACGAGCACAACGGCGGTACCACATTCGTTTGACAAGGTTACCGAACACGAAGCGGAATGTTTATCTTTTCCGATGATTTGTTTAATTTTCGAGGAATTTAATTGAATTTCTGATTCTTGCAAACATTCCGGGCGAAAACAAAGAAAATATTCTGCGGCACACTTTGCCTCCCTCGCAATGCAAGGCAAGGCAAAGCAAAGCAAAAGAAAAAAGATGTCTTCTGTTTGAGAAAACTTACCTTCGGTTTCCTTTTGTTTGCAGTAACTAAAACGATGCGGAAAAAGCTGTTCAATTCCAGATGGCGCTGCTCCTCGCGCTGGGTGAACTCGATTCACTTGATATGTTGTTTCTGTTTCATCTCCTTGGGCCCTGCGAAAGAGAAGGAATAATAAAAATAAATACCGTCGTTTAATGGTGCCGCCAGTAGGCATAAATTCTCCCCCGAAAAAAAAAACAGTAAATCAATTTAAACTTTTTCCCTAGCTCACCGAAGAAGCAGACTAAAAAAAAAATTACGGGAAACGGGTCACACCGATCTCCGATCGGTGGCCGACGGGCGAATAAAAAAGGCTTAATCGTTCAGTTTTCCACCTCATTTAAATGATTCATTCGAGCTAGGGGTCAGTTGATTTTCGCCGGGCCGAAGATCCGAAGAAAGTAAATAACCCAACCAGGGCCAGGGCGCGCGGACATTAATCAGTTTAGTAGCGCTCTAAACACAATCCTCCGACACCCTTTTGATCAAGTTTAATGGCAAGCGAGTGAACGAGCAACCATTGGATCTTCACAAAGAAAGAAAAGCGATTATTATTGCTTTAGACAGGCCGCCGTGTGATGAAAAAGTACGCACGTAACTGTTTTTATTGCTTTCTCATTAAGATCGCGCGCTGGCTGGCCGGTTGATGATGTCGGGGTCCGAGTCCGGCTCTGTCAGTCAGTCAGTCAGTCGGACGACGGTTAAACAAACAATCCGGCATATTTTGGAAACGAAACGAACTGAAGAGTAATGGCAGGTAGTTACTAGTTTATTGTTTCCGACAAACTGCACAGGGCGCACAGTAAATCAGATTCAAACTAATGGTGGTGGATTGACCTGCCCGGTGAAGCGGGCCATGTACACGTAATACCATTTGTGAAGGCTTAGGCGGAGGAGGAGGCTAAAGTTCAGCAGCAGCACAGGTGATGGATGAGTGGTTGAGAAAGTTCAGCGCAGTTCGCTTCGGCGGTTCAACAGTCAATAATGTGTGTGTGTTGGAGGATAAGTTCCGGAAGTGTTAAGTAAGGGTCAGCAGGTTTTCACACCTGGAGCGAGACAGAGAGAGAGCATTTAGCGTGACGCTGTTTTAGCATGACGGGAAACTTACATGACGGTGGGTTTTATGCAGTAAATTTGTGGTTTCAACGGGGGTACGATTTCCTCTCGCGTCGACATTTCTGATTATTATGAAAATAAATTTTTGATAAGTTGCACAAATTTGTAGGTAGTACAAGTCTTAGATCATTGTTTGAGAATATTGCCATCTCCGTCCGTTACCGTATTGACCAAGATGTGGGATTGATCTCGGCCGCTTAAGATGGAAGTAGCACTATCTCTAACCGTCGAGAGCTGTCCTGGACACGTCCTTGCAACCAGAGATCGTAATTATCGCTGATGTAAGAGCAGAAACAGCATTTATCACCTGTACAAAGAATGAAACGTTCAAACAAAGAGCGAGACAACTTTGTACTAGCAAAGCAATTCTCGTGAGAAAAGTAGCCATGAGTATTTCTTCTCACTCGGTAGTGACAGCCGATAATTTCGTTTTCTTTTCGGCTTTTGTTTTTCGGTGATGATGATTTTCACCCTTCCTGAGAACCCGATTTTGAGCTGTCTTCAGACGAAACCGAGCTTTTGCCCTAAGGGACTGGATTAGCGGCGGTATGAGAGAGACAACTAGTACTCAGTGATGCCACATATTCAATTTTTTCTCAATAATTTGATTTCATATCAACTCCCAGAATTCATATAGAATCGAACGGGGGGCTCAATCGCTCTAAAAAGACTGAATTGGGTAAAGAGGCGACGTCTTATCCATTTGACAGGTCTTCTGCTCGATTGGAATAAATTTTCCTATGACTTTGACAGATAATCGATTGTTCTAATTTTGACATGTCGTCTCTTTGTAAATTCAGCCTAATTTGCTACACTCCTGCTCGGATTCCAGCAACACACTATCGATTATTTTCGGTGTCCAATAGCAGAAGAAAAAGTGTGCTCACCGGTTTTGAGAGAGTGGTGTTTTTTGTATGATGGGAGAGGAAAATGAATAATCGTTGAAGAATGAGAGATGAAAATACTGTCGACTTTCTGCTGTGCGAAAAGCAGCTTGAATGATGCGTCGCTCATCTTTCAGCTGAGCGAGAATTTCGATCTCTGCTTGCAACTTACTTAAGAGAGAAATCATAAGTATCATCACAGGAGTTTGGAGTTTTTTTTAGTGGGAGGGTAAGGCCACAGGATACGTTCGGTAAACATTGCTGGCAAATTTTTAATAGCTAGGTGGATATAATAAGGCATAGTGAAACATTGAAAGTCAGGGGACGGGCCTGGGATTGAACTACCGACCTTCTGCTTACTGAAACGGTAACCACTAAGCTACCGAGCCCGTCTCTGAATTAGACATTTCTGATTACACCCTAAATTAAGACCAAACTAGTCTAGCTGTTAAAATCTGAGTCATAAAAGAAATTAAACGTAAATTCCAGGGGTGGTAGCGAGTCACTTTTTAGTGATTTGGCCACTTTTTTCAAGCCAGTCACTAAAAAGTCTCTTTTTTAAAGGCCAAGACACTAAAGTCACTTTTTTTTTTGTAATAAGTCACTATTTTAAACTTTTTTAAACGTGAATTTATTTCAAGATTGATCATTCTTCTGAATAGGCCTACATGTTGTTCTATTTTTTGAACAATTCGAAGTTGACGACCTTGTATAGAGTTTTTCGTTACGTTTTAGCCAATAATTTGGCTAAATAAAGTTCCCTGAGATTTGAAGTTCTATTGATCTCAGAAAAGCTAGATCTAGAGATCTTTGGGGAATTCCAGAGATCTTAAGGGGAAGTCCCCGAAACTTTAGCCCAGACTATTGAATTGATTTAAAAATTTATAAACGTGAGTTTACACAAATTCAGGATAGTTCCATGATGTGCTGAAATAAAATCGAGAACCCATAAGATGTTCCGAAAGATTCAGTACAGAGACCTTAAGAAAATTTATGAAAACTTCAGAAATATTTCAGGAACTTCACAGAAATCCAGAGAATTCCAGGGAAGTTTAAAGGTGTTTACGAGAATTCCATTTATTTTAAAACAAAACCGAGATATTCATTAGAGTTGAGAGTTTTAAGGAAGCTCCGAAGACATCAACACAGATCAGAAAATTAAAGGGCAGTTCAAAAAATTTCTAGGAAATTGCAGAAACCGAAATTTTATGAAATTTCAGTTTGCTCAGAGAAAGTTTCTGGAACGCAATAAAAATTATATAAACATCCGGAAATGTGAGAGTATTTCAAGGGTGTTGTATCATGGAAATTTCAAGATCTAAAAAAAAAAATTCAAAAATTTAGCTAAGTTGATTAGAGAACATCAACAAAGTTCCATTAATTAAAAAAAAAGGCGAGAACTTTTAACAAGCACCGATATTTTCAAGAAATTCCAGAGAACTTTTAAGAAATTAAGATATTTTTAGATTGTTGTTACTTCGACGACGATCAAACATCATCTTAAAAATCCCATTAACTTAAGGAAATTTGCAGCGACTTACAAGGAGTTCTATAGAATTATGGGATATTCCGAGAATTCTATGATTGATCCGAAAACTTTAGAAGCTTCAGGGAATTATAAATATATATTAGAAAATTTATCGGAACATTTGATCAATTTAGAGAAATTAAGGTAAGCATCGAAAACTTCTGGGATGTCCAGGCTTTCCAGGGAAAATTAGTGATTTACGGCAAAGTTCCGTAAGCGTTTATAAGCTTTATAAAAAAATCTTTCTTTTAAAAAACACTAAGATATTCAGGGCAGTCTAGAGAATTTCAAGGAAATTGAGAAATATCTTGGGCAGTTTTAAAAACATCTGGAAACTGTAGACTATTGAAGAAGTTATGAATTAGTTTCGATAATTTGAACTTCACACAAACAACAACACAAAGTTCTCAAACTTCAGTGAAAATCATAGAACCATATTAATTATTTCGCTGCGGAAGCTTAAAGAAGTTCCTGAAATTTCATAATAACTTCGAAAACTTCACAGAAGTACAGAGATCTTCAGAAACATTTCGAGAACTTCACTATTTAGCATTGATCGCTGCTGCTTCTTCTTCTTCTTCTTCTTCGCATTTTTAGATTATTGCATATTGCATATTAGCTTATTGCGTGCTCTCAACTTAGTTTAGTTTATTAATTTATTTATTTGATAAGGCTCAACCGAATTAACTTTACAGAGCCGAGGATTCTTGTTCACTATGCAATACATCTTAAAATAATAGTAAAAAGGTACAACACAATAAACATTTTATCTTCCGCTATCCAATAAGCCTCCTCTACCAGAACGGGAGTGGAGCTTCCAGTGGTTTACTTGTATGGCAGATTCGCCAACGATGGTCAGAGCGCTTCCATTGTAGCAATGGACGCAAAACGTGGTCAGCACGAAACGGTTGTTTTCCAAAGTCGACGACGCATCGATTGAAAGAACTGCTGATGAAGAACAATGAGGAGGATCACACAATGGTTGCTGCCGAGTAAACAGACGATCGCATGACACACATTGCTGCTTCTGTCGACAGCCGAGTAAACACTGGTCTCTCAACTTAGTGTTCTAGATGCACTTCCACAGTTATTAATTGAGAGCTTTCGATGCCTGTACCATTTTTGCATTGGTATAATTGTGTGGCAAGTACAATCATACTTCTATGCCCAGGAAAGTCGAGAAATGTTCCAACCCGAAAAATTCCTAGACCGGACCGGGAATCGAACCCAGCCACCTCCAGCATGGTCTTGCTTTGTAGCTGCGCCTTTACCGACTGAGCTAAGGGAGGCCCCAGCATTGATCGCTACCAGCCCTGAAATTCTAAACAAAAACTATATCTTGAGATCTTGACATGAGGATAGGGGATGAGTACTTAAGGGGGATAGATTTTCATAAGTCTTTAGTGGGATTGAAACTGATGAAAACTGCACATTGTCGTCGAAATACGATTCTGTCATGGATACAAAAACTAATTAAATGGAATTAAATGGAAGATAGCCTTTTTTGGCTGGTTCAAAGCATTCCACTAACAACCCAATTTCATTACTTCATTGTAAATTCTAATCAAGGTTTCTTCTTCTCTTT